TTAGCCCCTCTAGTCTCCGCTATCGATACTTAAACCCGAATTTTCTATCATCTCACGTATAGCGTGGTATAAGTTTTTTACGATCATACAACGTTGATACTGTGGTATACAACAGGGTGACGTCATAGAATGGATGCTTAGAGTGATGACACTCAATCGTATTCCCCCGGATGGATAGGCAACCCGCTACGAATTTATGGGAGAACCTCGGTCCTCCTCCTGTGTATAATTCCTAGTAGAGCGGGTAAGGTCGCTAGCTGGGTGGGGTGACGACACATAATGGATGCTTCGCATGACGTCACGTAAAATGATGCAGGTCATTGGTCAAACGTATTTACCCGAATGGTTGTACTGTGTATGATTGCTAATAGAGCAGATATCGTCACGGTAAAGGACTCATGGCACATGAAAAACCCTGTGAAGATAGGTTTTTGCAGATTTTTTGCAACGTCTGCTCCTTCAAATTTCCCGCCTAATTCACAGGCAAATTGTTGACTCTAACACATCATGCTTCGCTCGGGTGGGTAGGTAGCCCATAAGGATTAAACGGTTGTGGTTTAAAAAAGCTAATGGTAGCCCCTTCACGTTTAGGCAACCCGCAACAGTAAACACGGATGCCATACACCGTACACTAATCCATACCCAACCCGGGGTTAAATCATATTTTCCCGCTCAATTTTACAACATTGTTACCATGTTCCGTAGCAATGCCCGTCATTAATTCAAATTTTCCCGCTCAATTTCTCAACGTTGGTTGGTATCGTCACAGCATGAAAAGACGGCTGACATTTTATTCACAACACTGGTAACGAATAAACTTACCCGTCGCCCCTGACAGGCATGCCGGATCAATTAAGCAGTCAACTCTCAAGTGGCCCACGCCCCTTCCCGGTTAAATCAGATTTTTCTGCACGATTTTACAACACTGGTAACGATACAGTCTACGCTAGTGACGTCACACCATGGTTGCAAAAGCATACACTATACCCCAGCCCTCGCCGAAAATTAATTCCGATTTTTCTGCACAATTTTACAACACTGGCAACGATAGGTAGGCAACCCGCAACAGTCGGTAGTGACGACACATCATGGTTGTAAAATCATGCACCATACCCCACCCCTCACCGTAAATTAATTCCGATTTTTCTGCACAATTTTACAACACTGGTAATAATCCCCATTTTTCTGCACAATTTTACAACACTGGTAACGATAGGTAAGCAACCCGCAACCAGTCGCCAGTGACGTCACACCGATTCCCAGTGATCTTACACCGGGGTCACGTAGGTGTCGTCTTAAAGGTCAAATTTGGCGGTATATCCCTATATATACCCTACTTTTGACGGCTTAATTCACCGTCAGCGGGGACACTTGAAAATTATCAAGCGCCTTGTCCTGTCTGTTCGTTCCGGAAGACGCGATGAGTTGCTGCTTATTCCTGCAGAAACTCAATTCAAATCGCACACACATAGAGAATGTTTATGGTTACATGCTATCTCATTACGCACAGTTCTGCGGGAATCTATAACAGTGAAATCTTGCATAGTTGAGCTGCGGTCAAGACGAAATCCTCTGCGCCAGTGCCCCCATTTTTCGGAACTAGTACCGAATTTCAGAACTTTTGAAATTTTATTGAATTTGTCCCGGAATTTTTGAAATTCCCGAAATGTTCCAGATTTTTTGCATTTTCCGGAACTTTTTTGGGACTTTTGAAAATATCCAAGAAAAATCCCGGAACTATTGACGGTCATAGCGAGCATCGAAAATAAAAAGAAGTTCATTTAACATTCTGAATGTAAAAAAGTGTGCGAGAACTCACAAAATGCTAAATTACCCGCTACGGTAGTTAGTTTTACATCTTGAAATTGCTAAAGTAGCTGCTGTGGCAGTTTATTCAGCACTTTGTGTACACTTTTTTTTACATCCAGAATGTTAAATCAACTTCACTTTTTTCAGTGAAGGAGTAATTGGAACAAAAAAGTTCCGAATCCCGGAGCTTATGACGGGCATGGAATGGGAGCACTGCTCTGCGTCGGTCCCTTGACAGACACCGCCATACGACCAATATGAAAACCTACGATTCGGACGAATTCGCGGAAAAAAACGGATTGCTAATTTAACAATTAGATTATTGAAAAATATATCCGACATATTTCAAATGCAAATTTTACAATGGTGGAAAGCTAATTTAACCACGGGGGTGGTTAAATTAGCATTTTTGCAGTAAAATCTATGTTGAAACATGGTGGACACATTTTTCAACTACAAAATTCTTAAATCAGCAATTTCATCTTTTCCGTGTTTGTGACGCTTGTCGCGGAAGAAAAGCTGCGAAAGTCCAGGAAAAAAAGTTTTGTGATGGCATATCTGTATTTTTGAAGGAAGAAAAATTTACGGATCAAAATTCAATTTTATACTTGAAAATTTTAAAAAAGAGAGCAATTTTAAATGAAAGCTACCTTTCACAACAGGTTTATGACGGCCTATCTGTATTTTTGAAGGAAGCACAGAAGTAAATGCTTCAAACCTTGTAATTTTTTTGTCTTTCGAGAATTCATTGAAAGTGAAGAGATAAAATTAAGAAATTAACGTAAAAAATGTAAGATTCACAGTCGATTATTAAAAAAATTGGAGAAGTTACTTGAAAAATCACTCATAATTTACTTGAAATTGAGCTTACGAAGCCGTAATGCAGATAAGACGAAAAGCCATTTTGGTCAAAATTTATCGCGGTCCCTTAACAATACGCCTTAGCAAGATTTCATTGTAGTTTGTTGGTGAATTCTAACAGTATTAGGCATGTGGCTGGTAAACTTACTCAGAAACATGGCTAACACTTTAGCACTGGTTAGTGGTTACGAAATTTCTCTAGAGGGATCGATCATAATATAGACCGTATGAAACAGAATTTCCCGCTGATCAGTCATTGTGCATTGTGCATTGAAGCGGATAAAGACAACCCGTGAAGTTCCCGTTGAGAAAAGTAGAGTACACTAAGTAAAATAATTTGCACCACTGGCAGGGCCCCTCTGTTAAAAGCTCTCGGAAGCATTCACGAGCATTTCTCTGAATATCTAAGAACACAGGCTCATCATTTTTATGAAATCTAAATAATTTTACACTGAAATACAAACTCCGGCCATGGAAGCTGCACTTACGGGCTTTATACACGAAGAAAAAAACCTCGTGCGTGGGACCCGAAGTTTAGGTCATATGGATCTCTGAAGTTTTCAGATTGAGCATCTGAACACTTTAGGTCTAGCTGCCGAGGTTCGGATCACACATCTGAAACTTCAGTTCTTACATCCGAAGTACTTCAGATGTATGAACTGAAGTTTCCGATGTGTGATCCAAACCTCAGCAGCTGGACCTTCAGATGCTCAATCTGGAAACTTCAGAGATTCATATGACCTAAACTTCGGGTCCCACGAACGAAGTTTTTTTCTCCGTGTAGATATACCGCTCGCGTTCCGGGCTCAGAGGCCAAAAGTTCCGGGCGTAGCACCCGGAACAATCGAAACTACGGCTCCAGCACCCGGAAATTTCGGCCTCTGAGCCTGGAATGGACGGCATGTATATATAGCCCGTAACTTTGTTTCAGTGTTGATTAAACGTGAAAATCACATAGCAGATAGTTTCATTTTACTTACCTGTCACACGGAGAAAAAAACTTCGTGCGTGGGACCCGAAGTTTAGGTCATATGGATCGCTGAAGTTTTCGGATTGAGCATCTGAACACTTTAGGTCCAGCTGCTGAGGTTTGGATCACACATCTGAAACTTCAGTTCTTACATCTGAAGTACTTCGGTTTTCACATCCGAACAACTTCGGTTCTCACATCCGAAAAACTTCGGTTCTCACATCGGAAGTACTTCAGATGTAAGAACTGAAATTTCAGATGTCAGACCTGAACTTCGGCAGCTAGACCTAAAGTGTTTAGATGCTCAATCCGAAAACTTCAGAGATCCATACACGGAGAAAAAAAACTCGTGCGTGGGACCCGAAGTTTAGGTCATATGGATCTCTGAAGTTTTCAGATTGAGCATCTGAACACTTTAGGTCTAGCTGCCGAAGTTCGGATCACACATCTGAAACTTCAGTTCTTACACCTGAAGTACTTTGGTTCTCACATCCGAAGTACTTCGGTTCTCACATCCGAAGTACTTCGGTTCTCACATCTGAAGTACTTCGGATGTGAGAACTGAAGTTTCAGATGTATGATCCGAACTTCGGCAGCTAGACCTAAAGTGTTCAGATGCTCAATCTGAACACTTCAGAGATCCATATGACCTGAACTTCGGGTCCCACGTACGAGTTTTTTTTCTCCGTGTATCACCTAAACTTCGGGTCCCACGCACGAAGTTTTTTTCTCCGTGCAGTAATAAACACGGTTACACTGTTCTCGCGAAACGGAAAACAATATTTAAATAGGGGCATCGCGCCAAAAAAGTTAAACGTTTTGTGTTCACCGGTTAAGAACGTAGTTATACGCTTTGTTTCAGAATGAGACGAATAACAGACGCATGTTTGTTTCGGAAATGAGACTCAAGCGTCAACAACCACAGATCAAATTACCGAGACAATTTGAGTGTTTTGGTGTACAGATGGCGGGACGTAATTTTTGCTTCGATTAAAATTCTTCCTCGAGGAAAAGTGTTCCGTGCTGATAACCCAATTCCTCAGCACCACTACTGCCGTGATAGCGCAGACAGCAGTAAGTAAATTTCTGTATGAGCCATGGTTAACACATACTTTTATGAGTCTCGAGGTCCATCCCAGCATGCATTTACTGCTCTCCTCGCTATCACGGCAGACTACGGGTGCACTTTTGTCCCAAGCTACAAGACCAATAAACATTACAATCTCTATCAACCGAGACGCCAAACACGCGGGCTTTTGTCCAACCACCCACCGTATTCGGGCTGCTTTCCTTCTTATTTTTTAAGTCGATTTTTTTTACTCCTGTTTTACACTCTTTAAAATGGCACTAACAACTGCACTATCAATCAATATTTAGCTCGGTGTGCAACCCGCCTGAGCGCAGTGTATGACCCATGTGTGCTGGCATCAGTTTCCCTCCTCATCGAACAGGAAATAGTTATTTCTTCGTCAAAAATACCGTCGCAAATGTATAATGTATGTACGATTCGTGGAGTGAATTTATTATTAAACAAGGTTAATGGGCGCGAATAGTATTATAATTAATTTTTTTTTTCTTTAAATTTAAGAACCAAATTATTTCCGGTTAATTTATTTCAGAATTCATCAACCGTCTTTCGTTCATATTATCAATTGAAAAAAGTTTTTAGATGTGTTTTTAGTAACTCATACATTTGAATTCCATTTGAAAACCTTTCATTGTTTTAGCCCTGATCCTAGATTGAGTTTACTGACTCAAGCTAAGGGTGTTAACTTTTGTGTGAGAAGCTAGGAGTTCGGATTCCAAAATGTTGTATGTTATTCTAGTGTGCTTCGTTATTGTTCCTGAAGCATTTCCAATAGGAAATCATCCCAGCTGGAAATCTTCGCGGCATCATCATGGATCAATGAAAACTAACGAGGGATTTTTCAACCGGCACCAACAGCGATCAATGACAGACTGTTCCCGGCCAAGCTCCAAATATTGTTCTCCATCCTCCCACAGCTCAGCCCAAGGATCAAGCGGGCACCATTCAAATTATTACTCAGGGAGCCTGAACAAGTATCAACCTTTTTGTAAAAACACACAATCTTTCCGTAATTTGCATTCAAATTCAGCCGCAACGCACGGATCCAAGTTCGAGCGTTGTGCCCCCACTTATCCGGTGAGTTACCCTTGCACCCAAAAGTCCAAAAGTGATTACTTTACTGGAAATCATTTCGGTAATTCTCTAAATCCTTGTCCATGCGGACGGTATGTACCTGATGAAATCTATTGCTCAAATTCTCCACACTCTTATTACCCCGTTAGCAATATTTATGGACAGGAAATATCATTGAAATGTCCAACTAGTTACACCGGTGACAATGTTCATTGTTATCAACATTATTCACCCGGTACGTGTACAAATTTCGGTAGGAGATCTTGTGAATTCTACCCAGGGGTTCAGAATACTTACACTAATCCATCGTTGCTATGTAAATATTTTTCTGAGGCACCGAAAGACTTGAAAACAGCTTGTATGCCAGAGTTTTGGAAACAACTTCTGAAGGATGTTCTCGATTGTGATGCGTCGAAAATTGAGGAAAGTTCGAATTATGAAAATAAAGAAGAGTGCGATTGTAAGGATCTGAGATCTAAGTTACGAGCATGCCTAAATGACCACTCAAAAGACGACGGGAAGGCCATGATCTGTCTCTGGAAATTATTAGCAGCCAGAGCCTCTCGTGGCACTGAGCCTGACCTTGATTCCGAGCCAAGTAAGTCGGCTGAAAACAACAACAAATCCCCGTCGAGCAGTGATAGGACTGATAGGACTTCGAGTGATAGTTTTGAGGATGATTATGATGAAGAATGGGAAGCACGCGAAAAGCAATTTGTTGCTAATGAGGAGAAACCTGAAGATGAATCATACGGGAAACCTGAACCTGAAGAGTCCAAAAATGTTTCAGGGGAAAATTGCTCGACAGAAACTGAGGCAACCACCACTGAACAGCCTTGCAGTACTACAGAGCAACCCTGTTCAACAACCAAGGCCACAACCACTGAACAGCCGTGTACCTCGGAATACCCCTCAACAACTAAAGCAACAACCACTGAACAGCCTACCACCACCACAAAATACCCGTCAACAACCACTGAACAGCCTACCACCACCACGGAGTACCCTTCAACAACCACTGAACAGCCTACAACCACTACGGAATACCCCTCAACAACCGAAGCAACAACCACTGAACAGCCTACCACAACTACAGAATACTCTACAACAACCGCGGCAGCAACCACTGAACAGCCTACCACAACTACAGAATACTCTACAACAACCGAGGCAGCAACCACTGAACAGCCTACCACAACTACAGAATACTCTACAACAACCGAGGCAACAACCACTGAACAACCTACCACAACTACAGAATGCCCCTCCACAACCGAGGCAACAACTACTGAGCAACCTACCACCACGGCAGATGCAGAAAAGACATATGAACCACCTCAACCGGATGACAGCTCAAGTTACGCAAGCGCCTCAAGCTGGGCAAGTTCTTCAAGCGGCAGTCGATAATCACAGGGTTTCTAAGGAATTGAAACAACAAGGGATATTGAATAATGTGGTGCCATTTCAGGGTACCCCTGAAAAGCAGAACCAGCAACGATCTCTGAAAGGCCTCATGACACTCCAGAATACCGCTCAGGGACCAAATCAGCAACGCATGCTCAACACTCAACCCTTTCATCAGAATATCCCTCTGAATCCGAACCAGCAATGGCCTCCAAACAGACCATTACAGCCTCAAAATAGCCCTCAAAACCAGAACCAGTGGAACTCACAGAGCAATGTAGCACCGTCCCAAATGCAGAAGTGCCATTCAAATCATCCAAACCTACAGAAGAAAACTCAAACAGAACCAGCTTATCAAATCACTTATACGCCTCAATTGGAACATGCTTGTCAGGTAAATGGAATCCACCCAAATTCCAATCTGAAGACACACACAGCCACGGATAAGTTCTGGGATGCAAACTCAAAGGTAACTAATGATAAAGGAATCAATTTCAGGTCTCAGTTCGCAGTACTTCCACAAAATATTGCAGAGTCACAAATTGGATTTTTTGATGGCAGAAAAAATAATTTCAGCGACCGGGCACATTCCAGAGTAAAGCGTACTTCGGACTGTGGTAGGTCGAAAAAACGGAGAGCAAGGTTGATGAAAGAGCGTATAAGTCAGAGGAAGTTGCGATGGCAGAACAGCAAACAAAGACGAAGCATGAAAGATGAGATACTCAATCCAGTGCTACCACTTTGAAAAAATGATGTCTACCTCTCTGGGTCAAGCAAGCCCCTCCCTGGAATCGAAATTGAGCTATTTGACACTGTTTTTAAATGGTGGTAAAGTGTCAGTCTCTTCAAGAATGTTGTGAAAATTAATATAATCCCTTTCGTTTGATTTTCAATTCCTTCTGAGTCTCAATAATTATGTTCACTAAAACGTAAGTGAATATACTAGAGAGCCCGGCAACTTCCAATAAAAAATTGAAATCGTAATCACACAGAGAATGAGTATTTATTTTCCTTTGAACAAAGAAAACAACAATGTATTCATGTAAAAAGGAGCTATATGCATTGGATTTGCGTGCAATATAGTTCCTTTTACCATAAATTGTGCAAATAACACGCATGCAAACTAGAGATCGTGTTCTGATGTGGGATCTCATTTATTCGTCATAAATAATGAGATCAGAACAGCAGTCGATGACTGAAGTCGAACAACGCGTATCTCCAAGTTTGACGGCTGACTACATTTTCCGCACAAAGTAAATTTGTGGTAATTTTTCCAATTATCGTTGCCGCACAAAACCATTTTCACACAAATAATCTTCTATAGTATATGGCAACGTCGAAAAAAATAGAAGGCATTTTTAAGCAAAATGAGTGAACAAAGATTGAAAAAATTATTTCCTACCTTACTCAGCAGTCCAACAGGGATCGTCAGGGTCCAAATTTTCGTGCGTGAATTTTCATTATTTTCATCTGAGAGCTTATACTCCACTTCCTTGTTAATTCTTGCTATTTCTTCCATAAATTGTTGATTAATTTGCGCGAAAATGATTTTGTGCGGCAACGATAATCGGAAAAATTACCGCAAATGTGCTTTGTGCGGAAAATAAATTCTGCCAGTTTGACGAACTTTATCAAAAACAACTATCTCAATTGGGACGTTGGACCCAAGACCCATAAGAATACTCATATGACAGGGTTCATGCCACAATGGAGATAGTTCATTTTGATTCAAACACGTCCAATTGAGACTTCACTGATCGTCGCCAGTGTGTTGTTCGTTTTACAGTGAACTATAACTAAAAATTTTGCTTGCAGTTCTCCGAGAATTGTCCTCGCTCATTCAGAAATATCCAAAGATAATTGGAAGAAGATATTTTATTTATTATACCTCAAAATAAAATAAAATTGTAGATTTTGAGACGTTGAAATGGAGATTCGCTTTTTTGGAATTTACCCATTTATTAGAAACAGAGTTTTTACTACTTGGGAAGGTAAAGATGCGTGACAATTTTCTTCGTCGAAATAAATACGAAGGATCCTTACACCTTTGTTTTTGTCAATCTTTGCCAAATTCTCAGTTTAGGTTTTAAAGTTGACTAAGTTCTGATCGACAAAACCAAAGTAGAGGACACTTAACTAAAAGCCCATTCATAAGAAATTTTTATCCACTTCAAGGCAAAACATGACACACAGAGAAAAAAAATGGATCCAAAAGGACTGAAACGCAGTTCATTTAGAACACCAAAGTTTTCGGTCCATATGACCGACGTTTTAAGTTCTACGAACCGAAATCCAGTCCAAAGAACTGAAGTCTTACTCATAGAGTATAAGTTCTAGGATGGTTAACAAAAACTTCAGTTCAGCGAGCAAGTTTGGTTACTCCTAACCAGAACTTTGAGTTACATGGACTGAGTACTGCAACATTCCGTATACTCGTAAACCTAAGTATTTTTTCTGCAAGTGCAAACCGATTCAATCATCAAAATCTCTGTAAAAAAAATAAAATGGTGGCGGACATTTCGAAAAGTCGCTTAGCGCTTGTGATACTTTGGCCGGATCGTGACGATATAGGTAATCTACAAGATACCATTGTTCGAACGTGAAGGACGCAATTTTGCCTACATCCGATATGAAGGCGAATCGTGTTCCCCCCATCGCGGTCGTTCTTTTCGTAAATGTCCTCACTCTCTCTATTCAGGTACTGCATCATGGGGTTTTGATTCAAATCCTCTCTTCAGAAAATTAAGGGGCTTGAATTTTGATGAGCGCCACATCGGGGAGGCGCACAGTGGTTCGAGTCAATAGCAGAGGTCGGACATGAAATTTTTGACTACAACTTCAAATTTTGTTGTTTATTCCGTCATATTTTAAATTTTAAGGGGTGCCTCTAGAAGAAAATGGAGATGTTGCATGTGTGAGGAATTTGCGATTTGACTATTGATTCTTACGTAAAAGTTCATGAGAAACACGATGGTGCCACTGGTTTTCTCTGAAATCAACTCCCAAGCGCAAAAAAAGCTCTCAAGTTGAGGCCAAAATGGAGGGATATCCCACGCTACCCTGAGAGTCCACCTCTACATCAAGACAAACTCTCCATGCAAAGATAGGGAGCAAATACATTGACAGGGCTGCCATTTTATTTGGGGACTCCAAAACTGAAAACACGGCAACCCTGCTAATGTATTTGCTCCCTATCTTTGCATGAACAGTTTGTCTTGGTGTAGAGGTGGACTCTCAGTTCAGCGTGGGATGTCCCCTCCATTTTGGCCTCAACTTGAGAGCTTTTTTTGAGCTTAGGAGTTAATTTCAAAGAAAACCAGTGGCACCATCGTGTTTCTCGCGAACTTTTACCTATGATTCGATAGTCAAATCGCAAATTCCTCACACATGCAACATGTCCATTTCACAAGGAAACCAATGTAAGCACTTTTAGGACCTCAAAATTTTGTATAGACGGAGTGACAAGCGTTTAAAGTTTCCAAATTTTGTCCGGCCTCTCATATCGAGTCGATCCACTGTGGGGCGGGGAAGGCAAAAGCCATGCGGAGATTGCGGGAGCCGCCCAGGGTCCATCTCCACCCCCGCTCTGATTGCGATAATGAGCGTGGTTTGAGGTGGGCATCGTGAATGGATTAGCCGCTGGAATCGCAGCCCGGGCCGCGTGCAAAGATTGCTCCGATCAAAAGGGACGGCGGCAAATTACCCAGCGTGAACCCGAGCCCCGCCCTCCGCCCCCCGAAGCACCCGATCCCCGCTCAAAGAGCCGTAAACAAGCAATAATTTCGATATCATTCTCTTAGAAGTAGCGGCCGCAAGTCTCAAATTGAATCTCAGATTATTGGTCGCGCTGTTGCCGGATTTTCAGCTTCCACCCAAGCGCCTTTTCGAGCTTGTTTAGGAGACCCCTTTTCATTTACATTGTAAATAAGGGAGGATTACACTGGAAAAAAAAAAAAAAAGATTGGTAGAATTTACCATTCCTTCACGCTGTATTTCACACTGCGATAATTCAAAGTCGATTCTGCCAGAAGAAAGGTAAATGTTACTTTATACTGGTACAGGTAACCATTCCTGTGGCAGAATTGACTTGAATATTGGAAACATTTACCATGCCTTCAGGCTGTGTGAAATTCAGCGTCAAGGAATGGTAAATTCTACCAATCTTTTTTTTCGGTGTACGGAAACCGTCAAAATATCATTATAAAAAGAAGAATGTTTGCAATCTCGCGTAAATTTTACAGTTCAACCTCGGAATCGATCCTTACAAGAGATTACAATGATTTTCCACCGCAAAACATACAAAATATAGTAGAGACAATTCTATAATTTTGCTAACTTTAGGATAGGTTTTACCTTCAACAAACTTTAGGAGCACACCCACTGTATCAGCCTATTTCTCGGAACCAATGAAAAACCGCACTGGAAAAAAAATCGCCTGGATCTTTTTTTCGAGTTGTTTCCTCAGCGATTTCTAATGTTTTGAAAATTGGGGGAGGGGGGGCAGGCCAGCGTCACGTAATTAAAACGGGGGTGTGGGGCTGCGTTACGGGTGCGTTACAAGGGTTGAAGGGGAGGAATCGGAAAAAGTGCGTCACGTAATACTTGAACTACTATGTACTACGTACTACGTACTACGAACTACTTACTACGAACTACGAACTACGCACTACGTACTACGCACTGCACACTATGTACCACGCGCTACGCACTAAGTATAATTTACCATGTACTACTTATTAAGTACTATTCAGCTCTTAGACCCGAAAAGGGTAGGCAATCTATGAATTCAAATTACCCAGAGTGATTTATAATCACAATTGTTGGGAACTGTCGTTGGTAAAGCACGTATTTGACTTGGTTTTTGCATAAACTTACTTCTTTTTGCGGAAGAATGCTTACTTAAGAATTTTCTTGTCCATTTTCGTTTGATATTGGAGTCTAAAGATCGACAGCGACATTTTTCGTTTTCAAAGGTCACCTACCCTTTTGGGCCCTAAGAGCTACATATTTCGAGTTGTCCATACTCTCCCTATATAGGTACTCTACATCACACCAAAACTGAGGATCCACCTGGCCGACGATCCATTCGACCGGGGGATGCGACAACGCCGCGGCGATATCACACAAGAGGAATCTAATTAGAGGCAGCGGATTGGCGCGTGCATGTGTTTTTGATGATGGGGCCGTCGCGTCGCGTCGTCCGGCGTCCGATCCCGAGAGCAGAGATGGGAGCTTCATTAATAATTCCCAAGGAATCGGTCGTTCTCTTCGGGAGCTCCGCAGGAAGACGCCGCGACGGCCCGGCAAACACCGCGCACCCCCGCCCGCGCCGCCCGGGCCGCCGAGGCTAAATATTCGCTTACCTTTGAGCCACTAATAATCCGGCTCCGAGAGCAACAATATCGCGGTTAGCCAAAGCTCCGTCGCTCATGAACCGAAAATGGACCGCTAGACGAGGTACGAATTTCAGCATTCTGATACTTGGATTGCATTTTGCTAAAAGGAACCACTAGCATTGCAATGATGCTAAGATTGTGCAACTTCATCTTTTGCAATGAAATTGCGGAAATCGTGAAAAATTATGAAAAGATGGTAATCCGGCTCCGAGAGCAACAATATCGCGGTTAGCCAAAGCTAAACGAAGCTCCGTCGCTCATGAACCGAAAATGGACCGCTAGACGAGGTACGAATTTCAGCGTTCTGATACTTGGATTGCATTTTGCAAAAAGGAACCACTAGCATTGCAATGATGCTAAGATTGTGCAACTTCATCTTTTGTAATAAAATTGCGGAAATCGTGAAAAACTATGAAAGTTAGATGGTGATTTTTGTCTTAAATTTACAGTTTTTAACGAGAAAATAGAAACTATGAATGGATAATCGGGAGTTTCCTCCAAGACAAAAGAAGTTGCACAATCTTAGCAACAATGCAATGCTAGTGGTTCCTTTTTGCAAAATGCAATCCACTTGATTCTTAACTAATATTTCACGTAGAATACGAAGCGCACGACGAAAATCACCGAAATCAACTCCTTTCAAAGGCATTAATTGATTTTTGACTACCGCTCTCTTTTCGTCGTCGTCGCTCGATTTGATTTGCCAGGGATCTTCGTGCTTTTGATGCCTTCAATCATGGTACGTTGGGGCGCCTTCATTCTCGTATGATACTGTGCAACAATTCCGTGGCGAAATTGTGGCTTGAAGTGCCGCGGTACGCCACCGGCGTCTATATGTCCATCTCACCACAAAATTTCAATAGTGGACCACTAGACAAGGTACGAATTTAAGCATTCTGAAACGTTTACGATAACGTTTACCGCGCGATGTGAATCACATAGCAGAGCATTGAGTTTTCATGAGCTGGTGGTTTGAATTCACGCATTAAGAATCATTAAATATCTTCGTAAGGAGTTCATTTCGGTAATTTTCGTTGTGTGCATCGTGTTCTACGTAAAATTTTGGATGAGAAACATGTTTCGGAATGCTTAAATTCGTACCTTGTCTAGTGGTCCGCTATTGAAATTTTGTGGTGAGATGGACATACAGACGCCGGCGGGGTGCTGCGGCTCTTCGAGCCACTATTTCGCCACGGCGTTGTTGCACAATATCATACGAGATTGAAGGCGCCCCAACGTATCGTGATTGATGGCATCAAAAGCACGAAGATCCCTGGCAAATTAAATCGAGTGACAACGACAAAAAGAGAGCGGCAGTCAAAAAAGTTACTAAGTCCTAGTATCCGTACTCAATAACTTTTAGCATGATTTTTAAACTTCATTAGAGGAAAAAAGGGACTTGATTTGATCAAAAATGCGCTCAAATTTACCGCATAGAAGATTTTCTTTTGAGTCAATAAAGAAAAAAATGCTTGTATAAAGAAGAAAATATGCTTATATTAACAAAAATCACTTACATCAAGCAGAAACCTGCTTGAATTCGGCGATTTCATTCTTGACTCAAAATAAAATCTTCTTCACAGCATACTCAAGAATGTTTTGCCTAAATTGAGTCACTTGTTTCTCTAATGAAATCCAAAAATTATGCTGAACGTTATTAAACACAGATGCTAGGACTTAAGAGCATTTGCACCTCCGATCTATTTATTTGCCTTAGTATCTTGGTTTATTTTGCGAGGAAAGCTCTATGCTCTTAAAGGATGCCTGTCATGCTGGAGCGCCTTCAATGTCGTATGATACTGTGCAACGCTTATGTTGTGAAATAGTTGCTTTAGGCGCCGTGGCACGCGGCGCGGCATGCTGCCATACCAGCGCGGACGTTCACTGGCGCCTACAAACCTAAGGGGATACTTCATGCATTGCGCAATGCTTGAAGTATCCCCTTAGGTTTGTAGGCGCCAATGCGCGTCTCGCGTTGGCAGCATGCCACTCCGCTGTGTTTGGCGCTAATATTTAAACTCGCGGAGTCAGCGTTTTTAAACTCGTAATTTTGAAATTTTTACACTCTCTGTATGGATTATTCTGATGATAAAAAAATGTGTATTGAAGAAATACTTACTCTACCTCATAAGTTGTTTTAATTTAAACCAGTCAGCCGAGGCACCTTTTTAGATCACTTTGACAAGCAACAATGAATAGAAGGACTCGAGCTCACACAATTTATTTTATTCAATTTACACAAAATCGCTGTGTTTTTAAATTCCTCGCCAGCAACGTTGTCATGAAGAGATAAAGAAAAATCAACCTCTGGTATTAATTTTTTCCACGCCGTCTTTAATTTGCTTTAAAATTTCACTCGAATGCCGGTCGTCATCCCAGGCTGTTTAATTTAAGCAGTCATGATATTCATCGCACCAATAGTCTAACCCGTGGATGAGGCACAGCGTGACCAGAGCAAGGACAATGATTCGATGAGTCTGCATATTTTGGAATCGTCAAAGCTGAAAAGGTGAACGAACATTGATGTCAGGAATGAGAATGCCTTCAAATAGATCACTTATACGACTTGCGGGGATCCATGCTCGCAGGCTTAAATTAGATCAAATAGACTGATTTAAGCAGAACTAGCCCCACCATATCTAACGTTGCTTGATTTTTTCAACTTCGCACCTTTTTCAATTTCAAAATTTAATGTGAAAATCCGTAGTAGGTCATAAAAATATGCAAGATCTGATGCATTAGGCGTTGGCTTATTTCTTTTGAATAGCAAGAATGCAACAGAAGTTGACTCACCATAATTCTTTTGTCAGGATGATTAGATCACAAAACGACCAAATAATACATGGTAGAAGTACTTACAAACTTTGTCTTTCACTCTTTCCGATCAAGCTTGATTAACCACTAGAATTGGACTGCATTTTGCAATTTGGAACTATAGGTTCTGGCCCGGTTTAAAAACAACGTATGAGCCATTAGTTTCCCTATGCACATAAGTGTTTTTTCAGATGAGCCAGAGTTTATAGTTCCAAATTGCAAAATGCAGTCCAATTGTTCTCGAGAGTCTTACAGAACAGAATGGCTGCACCTAAACCAATGGAAGAATTGGGTATTTATGAGTAAAACTGTGCAGATAATTTATCTGTCCTCATTCATATTCATACGTCGTTTGTATTTTGCTCAACTATTGTTCTATCGGCTCTAGAGACTAAGTGCATCACTTGCTGCGATATTCTGCTCCGTTTGCTGTATGATTTTTCTAGAAAAAAGTGCATTGTCGTTTTCCGAAACCAAAAATGCCAAAAAAAAATTATGAAAACTCGATTTTCAATTTAGGCAATTTATCTTGCATCAACTTGAGTTTGTAGGTTGTAATCTCGACCGACAAAAAACGTCAATCCATGTAACTAAAATGCGTGTAAATGCGTGCTGTTCGAGGGCTGATTCGAAATGATTGAGGAAAAAAAAATGGCCCTCTATAAACAGCTGAAGTTAGGTTTCTCTTTCCTCTAGATTAAGAATAATGTCACAAAAAATGAGAGTACGATGTATGTCTTTTATTTTTTGACGTAAAAAGTTTGAATTCTAATCTTGTTATTTTTTCTTCTGTTTTAATATTTCCATATTATCCTACAAGCCACATTCTTTAACATGTGTCACTGCCTCTTCGGTACAATTCGTATCATTAGTCACGTTCCTAAGATTGCAGAGAGAGACGGAAGAATGGTAAAAAAAATTATTGGTCTCAACCTGGAGTTGACATGACTGAGCTAATTTCTTCATATCTTCAAATCTTCAAACCTACAGTTTTTTTAGTCATAGTTTCAAAATAGTTGAGACTTATGATGCTTTTTTTTAAAAAAAATAAGGAATCAATGTCGCGCACTGGAAAAGAAACACACTGAATCTAGAGTCCAGTCTCTTAAAAACATCGACAAAAAAAAATACTTTTGATTCAATCGAATTTTTGCTTAAATCAAGAACCAAGCCTCTTGATTTGAGCGGATTTCCATTTGATTTAAGCAAAACTATGATTGAATCAAGAGTATTTTTTCTTGTCAATGTTTTCAAGAGTCTGGACTCTAGATCCAATGTATTTTTTTCCAGTGCGTTAATAACATTAGCAAGAATTTTGCACCTAGTCATACGTCAGGAATCATATACTTAAAAGTCGCTTTTACAGAGCTCTTTGCCGCTCTGCGACACCTGACTCCCAAAGTCCCCTATCCTCCCAAAGCCCTTCAGGGAGTTGGCACTCCCTCATTTCCCTCTAAAACTCCCTGTCGTCCCCTTTCACTGGGCATCCCTTTCATCTCCTCCAAGGAGAAACCCAAATCAAGCATCTTCCTCGAAGACTTTCTTCCGTTACACTGGAAAAAAAAAACACATTGGATCTAGAGTCCAGACTCTTAAAAACATCGACAAGAGAAAATACTCTTGATTCAATCGGATTTTTACTTAAATCAAGAACCAAGCCTCTTAATTTGAGCGGATTTTCTTTTGATTTAAGCAAAAATCTGATTGAATCAAGAGTATATTTTCTTGTCAATGTTTTCAAGAGTCTGGACTCTAGATCCAATGTGTTTTTTTTCCAGTGTACCCGGTTCACATGATCATACCAGACTAGCTAATTGGTCATGACGTCGAGTACGATGTCATTTTTGACTCTCATGATCTGACGCACTACTTCATTACGTGAGGAATTAATTCTAATTTTTTCTCCTCTTGACGGAAAAACACGCCTGGCGCCGTTTGGTCTCAACGAGGTACCTATTGTTCTAAACCAAATCGGCTCACGGCGTTAGTGATAAGTCTTTAAATTTTATATAAGACGTTTATCTAGCAAGATGTATAGCAGTCCATTTAAAAACAACTGATCGTCCCTTGCTCTCATTTAATTCGTGGTGCGACGATTTCACAGTTTGTGCTTTCTTGACGCTTTGAAAGTTTTCGACACGCAAAAATTGGAGTTTTACTGGAGCTTACCTTCGTACTTATAAGTAAGTAACGCTTTTGCTATGGTGTTTAGTCTACATAAAATTGGAAACCCTGAAGTTTCTTATCCGAACAGAACGAAAATGACGTTTCGTCCTTCTACATATCTATTGAATTCTTGATCAGCAGACTTAGATTGAAATCTGTATTAAGCAGGATTGAAAGTGATTTTTAGCATGACCCATGCAATTCATGCAATTCATCCCTTTTTTTGCTCAGCTTTGCATCAGTGCATCAACAGAATAGTTTTGGTTAATTTCAGTTTTCTTCATTTCTTTCAGTGTGTTCGAAACTCAACTTTGAGTTTTAGGAGCCACGTGGCGTATAAAACCTGATTTTTAGGCGCCATTGAAGATATTTTAGGGGCCAAATTGACTTTTTGCCTATATATTATGGCATATTTAGTGAAAAATTAGACGCAAGATGTTTTCGTAACAGAAGTAGTAAGTAGCTGTAACTTGGGGAAGACAAAAGCACTAAGGATGAAATCGTGAAGAATAGAAAAGCTTTCACTTATAGTGCTGAAAATTTCGAATAATCACCTAATATGAAAATTCAAATTTTTAAAGGGCAATTTTTAGGGGCCATGTTGGCGCAGAGCCTTCATTTTTTAGGCGCCATGGCCGATTTTTTAGGCGCATTTGGCGCGTTGGCGCCTGTGAGTTTCGAACACTGATTTCTTTAAACGATCAAACTGGCAGCCCTTCACTATACGTTAGGTTTTAGTACAAATGTATTGGATCATGAAATATAATCAAAGTTGTATATGAAATAGTGTGGATAGTAATGATTGAAAAAAACGGGAGTAAGTAAATGTGCGTGTGATTATGACTAATCGACAGTTTGCATTAGATTCAACTCAAGTTATTTTACTAACTTTTAGTTTTTTTTGAACTTAATAGTTAAAATTGTGTACATCGATTCCGAATGCACTGCAATGCTATGAACGTAAAATTTTTTCTGAAGTAAGTTATAAAAATCAGTGAGTCGATGTAATTGCGAACCTCTGATAAAAAACGCGCAACGATCGCTTCATAGTACCTATCTCTATTTTGTATCCATTTATATCTAAAGTATGTTACTAGTCCTGCACACTTCTTCGTTTCTCGTAAGAACGTGACACTGCATTTCAACTATGCAAAATTTCTCTTTCTCGAATTTTAGATTATTTCGGAAGCTGAGAAACTTTCACTCGAAAATATCACTGATTTTTCCTCTGATCACGCGATATCAGAACAATTGTCGACGAAATTTGCACTGCTAAATTTTTGTAGGCAATGAATCAGACGCATTAAAATCCAAAGAAGTTTTATCCATTGAGACGTGAGCCATGTCATGCATGAATCCAATGGATCTCAGGGCTCATTCCATAATGGATATATGGTTACTTTTGATTTAAATACGTTCAATTTTGGAATGCAGTCATGATCATTCGTCTGAGAAACGACGAATTCCACCAAGAAATTTTTTAACGCTCAATGTAAGTTTCAATGAACTACTCCTTGCATTCGGTACACTGGAAAAAAAAACACATTGGATCTAGAGTCCAGACTCTTAAAAACATCGACAAGAAAAAATACTCTTGATTCAATCATATTTAAGCCTAAATCAAGAACCAAGTCTCTTAATTTGAGCGGATTTCCTTTTGATTTAAGCTTAAATCTGATTGAATCAAAAGCACTTTTTCCTGTCAATGTTTTCAAGAGTCTGGACTCTAGATCCAATGTGTTTTTTTTCCAGTGTTCAATTTCGGAATGCAGTCATGATTTTTCATCTGAGAAACGACGAATTCCACCAAGAAATTTTTCTAACGCTCAATGTAAGTTTCAATGAACTACACCTTGCATTCGGTACTACAATTCCTGGCTCAGTTTATAAATGACGAATGCACCAGGAGTTCCCCTATGCACGTGAGTGTTTTAACAAATGATGAGTCAGAAATTATAGTTCCTAATTTAAAAATGTAGTTTAAACCATTTGCTTGACGTTATCCATGTCTTCTATCTGTGTTTTTAGGCACCTGCACCTTGAGTTATGCAACTTGCCACACCACTAACTAGCCTCCTCCTTGGCGCTCTATGCATCGTGGTTGTAAGCACAGCAAGCATACCTGATGGCAACGTAACGGTCGACACCCTCGACGAATCAACCGACACATCGATTTGCGAGGGAGATGACCTTTGGTGTTGTCTGTGGTCATGGGTACTCGACGATGGAAAAAACTGCACGAAGAGTCATGAAACCAACGATGGCTCCGCCATAGGACCGCCCGCTCCCCCTCCTCACAAAAAACCTCCCAAGGACCCCAATCCACCCGTAGGACCGCCCCAGGCTCCTGTCCTACCACCATCCCCTGGTGATCCTCTTACAGTTTCCATCATCGACCCTGTCACAATTTCCCCACCCCCTGAAGATTCCGCTAACCCTTCTAGTAAAGATGCGAAGGACGTGGATGCCCATAGCGAACCAGGGTCTAATCTTGAGAACGTTCCGCAGAAAAGAGCTGTCGAGGATGGTGTCTGGATGGACCCCCTCCCGTACGATAGTGATAGTGCGGAAAAACGAACTACAGCAATGGTAATAAATACCAGGAGACGTAGATCTACGGACGCCGTGGAGGATGATGATCCGATGATTCCGTGGGCTCCGGACGAAGATAAAAGCACCGGGAACGATGGAACGGCTGTGGAGTCTGCGAATGTTGTCGCAGAAGATGCCCAAGAGAACAATTTGCCCAACACTCTAATTGATACGGCGGACTACGGATCTCTTGACTCCGCTCTTGATACGGCGACGACTAGCAAAAGGACAGTATCCCGGCTCCGAAGGGAATCTTGGAGACTAAGGAGGGGCACTAATAATGCAGCTGAGGTGGATGATAGTCCGAATGCAGTGGATGACGCAGATGTAAGTTCAGAGACAAAGGTTGGTGATATTCCCGCAAGCTTGATGGATGACACAGATGACAGTATGTCGGATGACTCAGATGATGATTCGGTTGATGGAGCGAATGACAGTTCGGTGGATGAGGTAGGTGATATTGGTCCAGGTTATGGTGTTAGTGGGGTATACCGGCTCCGAAGGGAATCCAGGATTCGACGACTACGGAGGGACACCGATGATGCAACTGAGGTGGATAATATTCCGAATGCAGTGGGTAACAATCCGGTGGATGACGCAGATGAAAGTTCGGAGAAAGAGATTGGTGATATTCCCGCAAGCTCGATGGATAACACCGGTGACAGTAAGACGGATGAGGCAGATGACCGTTCGGTTGATGAAGCAAGTGACAGTTTGGTAAATGAGACGGACGATAGTCTTGCCAGCTCGGTAGATGACACAAATGAAGACGGTGATGAGGGAGATGAAAGTTCAGAGGAAGAGGTTGGTGGCATTTCCGCAAGCTCGATGGATGACACAGATGACAGTAAGATGGATGAGGTAGATGACAGTTCGGTTGATGAAGCGAGTGACAATTTGGCGGATGAGGTAGGTGATATCGATCCTATCTCGACGGAATTTACAGACGATAAAGTAGACGATCCAACAGAAGCTGACAATCCAACAGAAGCGGACAATCCAACAGAAGTAGAATCGGAAAGTACGATTAAGGATGCTCTGGATCAAGCCAACATCAACAAAAGGTCGATAACCGTCGGAGGAGATGAACCCTACGATTGGTCCGGCACTGACGTCTACAGACGGAGGCGAGCAACCTCTGATGCAGAAACCACACCCGCGGGTGCATCGGTTTCCGATCTGCCCGATTTGGATGTAAGTTCTCCCGCCTCGATGGACCAACCAGTCGACGTTAGCGAAGATCCTGCTTCGGAAGATACCACCGAAGACGAGGACGATTGCATTCCTCTATCAGGGACGGAGTATGAATATGCGTTCCAGCCTGATCTGGACCAAAGTAAAATCTGTAAGAGGTCAGTACTTTATACAGGAACACCATCTGATTCGAGTTTTTATGATACATATGACTACCGACGTAGGAGGGACCCTGATGGTGTAGTACCTACATCTACCGGCTCTTCGGATCCTAATCCGACTAATGCAGTAGACGATTCGGCTGCTGCATTAGTAGAATCAGAAGGCGTTGAGGGAGACACAGCAATGGGTGCTGTAGACAATGAAGTGAACGATCCCGAAATTGCTCTTTCGTCCTCAAAAGACCTTACAAGCCCTAGTGAGTATGGTGAGAAAATGTATACAATACTTTACAGACGAAGAAGAGAAACCGATGACGTTCCTACTGCATCTACAGATTCATCGGACTCGAATCAAAAAGATTTAGAATATGGCTCAACGGAGCAAACAGATGACGCTGTAAAAGACTCTGCTGACGATAATACAAACACCCCGGCAATCAGTGTTTTTGATTTTCGTACAAATACTCAATACGACAAGGAGGTTGAGTCGGATTCTGACGAAGGAGGCATCAGTAAAAGGTCGGTTATCTACGCAGGAAGTCCTTACGGGCCCATCGCTGGTCCTTATGGGTCCATTGCGGATCCTTACGGGTGTATGGGAATACTCTACAGGCGAAGAAGAGACACTGCCCAAGCGGCAGCTTCATCAACAGACCCATTAGATGGCAATCAAGAAATATCGGAGGACAGTCTCTCTGCATCAGTAGAGCAGACTGATGATGCCTCAGAAAACCTCGCACTGGGTGCTGCCAACGACGACGTGTCGGATAATCCAGCGATCACGTGGTCAGACCCTGAGGGTGAGCCAAACGATAACGAAGGAAGTAGCTCAGACTCCAATCAGGTGCAGAAGAGAGACACTATTGATGATTATTGGGGGTTAGCTGCTACCGCTCGAATGAGCAGGCGCAAAAGAGCTTCAGAGGACGACACCTACTATAAGCCGGAAGGCCGTTGGATAGACCTAGATTCATTGGAAGATTCAATGAATATTGGTTTATCTGCTTCCGAATTGGTAGAGGAAACACGTGAAGATCCTACTTGGTCGTATGAAACCGAGGTATCGAACTTATCGGGCGAAGCTAGTGACGTCATGGGAGATCCTGCCTCCACATTGGCAGAAGGAAAGAGAATTGCGAGGCGGATAAAGCGTAAGATTAAGAGAGACACCCCGGAATCGACTCTGTATGAGCAACCGTACGACTCTGTCGATACATTTGGGCCAAACACGATCGCTCCTTGGACTCCATATCCATATGAGAGTGGCTGGCTTTATAATCGCATGGAGCCGTCGAGCCTGGATCGCGACATTCCTGAAACAACCCCACCCGAGCTGTAATTTTACTCCGTGGATAGCGATTTGTGACAAAAAAAAACTGATTGTTCGAAAGTAAACAGGATTTTTACTACATCTCAAGTAGCATGAAATATGATAGATGCTCTGCAGCCCGTGACAAGATATACGATAAAAAAATAATTTATAAAACGGGCAACAAGGCTAAAATTTCACATACACAAAACCAAAACGTTTCGGCTGAAAATTCAGCCATCCTCAGTCAGATAAATCAAAATAAAAATGGTTAAAAATCTAAAATAGGACCTGATAAGTACCTTTCAATTGGGAATGTTTTTATGGGTTTTGTTGTTGTTATGTTGTTATTTATTATTTTGATTTATCCAACTGAGGATGGCTGAATATTCGGCCGAAAAGTTTTGGTTTTGTGTATGTGAAATTTCAGCCTTGTTACCCGCTTTTTAAATTGTTTTTTTATTGTATCTCAAGTGGCACTGATTACAATTTATTTCAATTTATTTGGTGAAATTATTGCTGATGTGCGTGAAAAGTTGTGTATGTTGTCTTTTAAATGATTGAAGGGGCTTTCCTCGATGAAATATGTTGCGATAAAATTAAAGTAGGTTGCAATTTCGTTTCCATTACAAGTTACCTACTATTCTTGTGTACAGAACTCATTTTCTTGATCACAGGAAAAAACGGCAAGGTGTTGATAGATGATATGGGCTTTTCCAATTAATTGCGGTAGTGCAATAATTAATTGTCGTGGTACCCCAAAATATTAGTTTACTAATTACCAAAATACTAGTTATCAAATGTTGCGGTACTGTCCCGAACTTGAGTTGCGGTACCACCAAAATTAATGGGAAATGTCTATATCATCCAGCAAATTTGGCTTGTACCAATGCTATAAAAATTGTGATCTGATTGTACTGAATTGCAAAACAATTTCAATTTTTTCGATGTTTTGTGCTAATTGGGAATTTTCGATTCGGCTCTAATTGTTTCTGGCTCACCCACAAAATCCCCTATTTTTAGAAGGAACATTACCGCACTTAAGTTTGTTTTTTCCTTAAAAAAAATGAGTCAGAAATAGCAGTTTCAAATTGCAAAATGTAGTCGAATTCATACTTTCACTCCTGCTATTTTTTATTGAATAAATTTCGTGTTTCCGTGTCCCTTTTTGCGTAGTTCTGCCAAAGTGTAAAGTTGCAGGACTGGACGAAAATCGTAATGTAGGCATTGGCGGATCCAGCAAATTGGCAACATTGCTTTTTCTCCATTTGGACCAATGGAAATCTATCGATTCTTGGAGGGGCCGAGTGCTCCGACCAGAATCGATTATTTAGCATAGGTTTAAATGGAGCAAATCTGGTGTTGCCAAATTGCTGGATCCGCCTCTGAAAGCAAGGATTGATTCGATGAATGATGGTGTCTCAGATTCATCTGGCGAACAGGGAGACATCATCAAAAGATACGTTGTAAATTTGTATTCGGGCGGAGACTACTTTTTACTTCTTTACTGATCAATCCTCATCAATGATGTATTGATGTATGATGTATTGATGTATGATGTATGTGCTGATGTATCGTCACGATTGATTTTGCACTTTTAGAAGAAGAAAACAAAATTGTCTCTTTATTTTTATTGAGCAATGCTCATCAAAACACTTATCACTCACTTGTAATAAATTGTATTTGTAAAACAATTCAAAAAATTAAATAAATATTTATTGAAAAGTTACTTAGCAATACACGACCATACCCATTCAAAAAATGACATAATTTAATCATTATTCACAATTTTTGTGAAGCGCTAGGAGCGTATAATGTAAAATAATGGTAAAATCATTGCTTTCATAACTATGCTGACCATGCATCCCTAGAAACATTGCTATGAAGGTAAACAAGGAGATGAAAATATTATTGTATGATACAATTTTACGGAGAAAATTCGGTCTTAATTCATGCGATGTTATTCAAGCAGCTGAAAATAATTTTCCGTCGTGAAAAACCATTACTCATTCTTTTTGATTTTTAGTGTCAGCTTTGAAAGTAATTAAACGCCAATAAACCATCCAGTAGGTTCAAGAGCTAAAAACTACTTTTTGAAAACTTTAAAATTATTAGTGGATACATCGCATATTTTATGTCGTAAGTAGGTATGAATAGTGAATGCGAGTGCGTGCAATTCGGATCTGCACTATTGAATTGCGTTCCATTGTTCAGAACGCAATGACAAACGTAAGGATTATTTATGATCCTACGCTTCACCTTCTGTCAGGCTGAATGTCAATTGATTGATAAACAGCAAATTTTAATTTAGATTAGACGCGGCATGCCTGATGAATAATGAGGTTCTCCTCTTCACTTACAATGTACACTGTACACTTAATGCACAACAAATGTTCTTTTTGCAGTAACATTTACATAGCAATTAAGTACATACAGGCACTTTAAATTTTAAAATGCCTGGAAATTGGTCTTCACGCAAATGAACAACTCAGCGGACTGCATGCGGGCAAAATAACGCTTGAAAATCCCAATGAGCAGATCAGAAATGTCAAAAATCTACACTGTAAGACACATTTTGCTCAGTCCTTATCACCGCTTTTTAAATTTTAAGGAATGCACCGTATCAGCTGCGAAAGCGTTAACAAGTAATTATTAAGACTCCGAAAAATGGAGTAATTTTCTCAGTAAAAACTTGAAATGATTTGAGGTATTGTTCACCAAGAATGCAATGTAGGGCAAACTAATTTTTTACCAACACAGCTGTATGAAATAATCAAAGAAGGTTTATCGAAGGCAATTATTCGATATACACACCACATATCTCGTTCGCCGTGTTTTGAAATATTCGCCCTTCTTTTATTTTAAAGGAGAACAAACCAACACCACTCCTTGAAGTTTTCTGGAAATGTGCTTCGCTCAGAGGAGGGAAGTCAAGGAAGTTTTCAAGAACTAACGTCGATTACTTCTCTAAAAAATAAAGCGTGACAGGGAGTCTGCAATGCTGCAAATGAAAATACGTGGTTTGGGGATTTCATCATACATTTTTTACAAAAACTGAGTGCGGTGGACGAAGGGGTCGTAAGACAGTAAGTTAGAATTTTTCAGCCAACGTGCGTGAAAAATCAGCATAAAGCTGAAAATCTCAATACAGAGGGAAAAAGCTAACACACAAGCACAATTTTTCCTTAAAGAGATAGGTACACTGTTTGGTGCAGTGTTCGGTCTCACTCTGTATTGAGATTTTTAGCTTATGCTGATTTTTAACGCACGTTGGCTAAACATTTTCAGTCTTTTTAAAAATTAAAAAATCGCATCTCGCGTGATATGAATAATTAAGTATTTAAATGAAAAAGTAAAAATTTTACTGCTAACTGCAATGCGCACACTAGTTTGCCTGTTACTTTCTGATATAAGCCCTTTTTTTTACAATTTTTTAACATTCGTCGCTAGGATGGAGTACTTTCATTTCCGTTCTGTCCAACTTCGCTACAGACCATACACAGCCACACGGCGTGTGCCAACTCAGTCTACAACCGGGAGATTTTCTGCAAGTTGGCACCACTTTTATGACCCTGACGCACCGCAACAATGTAGCATCTATCACTTAGCCTCACTCATTGATTGCACTCGTCAACTGACAGTGCACTCTTTGCACTTGCATTTAACTCCTCCCCCTCCTTGTCTTCTGCGCGGCAAAAGTAAATATTGGCCGCTCGCAGCGTGATGCCTTCATGTGCACCCAACCGGTTTCATCTCAAAAGAATCGACCAAGGCTGCTTCATGGGTCTGTGTTGGATACAGTCTTCAGTGTCGAGTATCTGTATTGATTCCCCGGTGCTGGGAAAAAACGCCGTATGAACTTTCGAACGTTGCCAAGTTTCCCCCATAAAATGTGACGCAAAATGATCAGCAGGGTTGCCATAGTCAGGGAATACCGGAAAAACCGGTACAAATTTGAAGTCAAGGAAAAATATTTTGAACATGAAAACAGTCGGTTAACTTCGACGTGTACAGGTCGTGTACGTGACGTGTACAGGTGACGATATGTTGTTTCTAAACACAGCCGAAAAAATTGTAGTTCCTAATGGACCACTAGACGAGGTACGAATTTCAGCATTCTGATACATGATTCTTAACCAAAATTTCACGTAGAATACGACGCGCACAACGAAAATTACCGAAATCAACTCCTAACTAAGATATTTAATGATTATTGATGCGTGAATTCAAACCACCCGCTCACGAAAACTCAATGCTCTGCGTGATTCACATCGCGCGCTAAACGTTATCATGACAGTCTCTGCGATATAAAAATCTGGCAACCTCAATCTTGACGCTTTGGTTCAGCTGTAGCAAATTGCTTATAGTTTGAACAACACATGATGGGAAATGAACATTACTCGATTGAGAAGCTTGTTGAAACCGTGGTAGTGCGCGATTTGACTCGCGTAGAGCTTTGAGTTTCTTGTGAGCGGGCAGTTCAAATCCCTCGTAACCAATGTGACATAACAACGTTAATATTTTCGTTTGGAGTTTATTTCATTACTTTTCGTTGCGCAAATTGTGCTCTACGTGAAATTCTGGTTCAGAAACATGTATCAGAATGCTTGAATTCGTACCTTGTCTAGTGGTCCATTGCAAAATGCAGTCCAATTTGAGTTAAATCCACCGAACTTTTCCCCGGTTAAAAATTCATTTTCGAGTGAAAATTGGCAAGAAGTGATATCACTTGGTCCCCTTTCGAGAAACACTGCCCCTTTAACCATCCCTCTCCCCGCACCCACCACGGACCGCGTCACAGAAACCGGAGCAAAAGTTTACAGAACCCCATCCGAGGGGGGACGCGCGAGGTGGAGGTAGTAAGCAAAGGGGATATTCCCGGAAAGTCTATTGTGTCGCGGTTTTAAAGGTGCGTCACCACTCGCCCAAGGACGACTTTTTCCCAGCAGTGGTGAGCCGCGTATCATCCGCTATCGATATTCCTCCATTTGAAACTATGACAAAGAATCGATTATCCAAGTATACTCTGATAATCGATTCTTTCCGAAGGTTTCAACGGCGGATTAATCGATTTATCGCGAACCCGACACGCGTCAGTTTTTCAGCGATACCCGACTCGCGGAAACGACGAAAAATCTGCTCTCATGTAAAACTTTTAATGAAAGAAAAAAGTTCT